GTATATTTAGAGAGCATATTATTATGAAGACTCATGTAGAAGTTTCATTTTGAAAATATATGATACCAATATGAATACAAAAATCACATTTAAAGGGGTCATATGATGGTTGCTAAAAAGAACATTATTTTGTGTATTTGGTGTAATGAAATGTGTTTATGCGGTTTAAGGTACAAAAACACATTATTTTCCACATACTGTACATTACTGTTTCTTCTCTATGCCCTGCCTTTCTGAAACGCGTCGATTTTTACAAAGCTCATCGGTCTGAAAAGCGAGGTGTGCTCTGATTGGCCAGCTATCCAGTGCGTTGTGATTGGCCGAATACACAAACAACAAGTGCTACTCTACACTGCCCAAAAAACTCGCGTTTGAATCATCAGTGGAAAATTCTTTTAAATATGGAAACTTACTTACAGTCTGTGAGTCAGAACAGCCGGCATTGTAGTCTACTCTGCCAGGAAACAGTCTGCACACATCTGAATACAACTTAACCACTGATTTCTAGTCGCTCCAGGCATGACGAAGCGGATATAGTCCTCTTTTGGAAGGCTAAACAAAGCAGTTTCGCTTTCACAACGAAACACACAGTGTCTTCACGACATGGCGGCGGCGGCAACAACAATACTACAGCGAGAATAAAAGTTATGCCTTCTTTCTTTGCGTGAACATTTGGGCGGCGTTATGCAAATCTTCCCACATCGTGACGTAGACGTGGGGGCGTGTTAGAATTGGCCGTTTTAGGTAGGCGTGGTTGACTCTTAACTTTTATAAAGAATATCTCTTTGGATTTGAGACTTTAGTCTTTGCAACTTTACAGATCTTCTTTATGCACCAAGAGCTTGTAACACTCCAAAGAGAAAGGAAAAATTGAAATCGCATCATATAACCCCTTTAAAAACTTGGTAAATGTGTTTTAAACTAGATTTTTGAAAGCGTTTTTCTTTTTCATCACAGACATCCATCATTCCCAGACATACTAATTTGTCACTGACCCATAAAAGAATTATGAAAAGTGTGCAATGCAACTTGCACTGCACGATTCTGCATAATAATGTGCTCCCTTAATTTAATATGCTCTCTCACTTATGGTCAAGTTTTAGTCTCTCGATTAATATAAGATCATAAAATGATGCATGTATAATACAAGCATAGAAAAAATAATCAGATGTAGCTTGTCAAACTGCAGGACACTGCTGTTACTGTGAGAACCATTTCTGTTTATTGAGACAGACATCTATATTTGTAGCATCTTTTTTATGCTGTTTGCACAGCACTTTGATCTGCAGGTGCAGTTGTAAAGTGCTTTAAAAATGAATGAATTAATTAATGAATGAGCCTCTGGATAACTAATTTTGTGCAGCAAAAATCTAATTGCCTAAAGAAAATGAGGCTGCATGATGTGAAATCCCATTCTCTTAGAATCCGAACTGAACCCGAACATCCCTAGTGTCGCCACCAAAGGCATTCAGATTCCATAAATCCTGCAGGATTGGGGTTCACTCCCTGCAATATGAAAGGAATTTTACTACTCTAAACACTTTTCTTGTGTTATTTCTCACCAGTTGCATCATCCTCCTCCACAGATGGAGAGAATCGAGCAAATTAAAGCTCCCCATCTGTAAAAACCCAATGATGGCTAAAGTATTTGTTAACTGTCACATGAGCGTGCATTTTCAGTGTCAGTGGGATAGCCTATCAAAAATGGAAAATTCTGTCATCATTTACTCACCCTCATGTCGTTCTAAATCTGTGGAACACAAAAGAAGATATTTTGAAGAATGTTGGTAACCAAACAATTTCAGATCTATAGAAGTCAATGGGACCCAAACCCGTTTGGTTACCAACATTCTCCCACAGCAGAAAGAATATACAGGGGTATAGAATATACAGATGGATGATACAGGGGTTGGAACGACATGAGGGGGAGTAAATGATGACAGCATTTTCATTTTTGAGTGTACTATCTCCAAAAGTTAGTGGAAAATGGCAGCTGACAATCCACAGCAGGGCACTTCCTGACTTTTCCACGTTGCACCTCAAAGATCTCGAGACAAGCCAGGACAAGGTTTATGGGAATTCCCTGGTATGGGGGAGCCCTCCTGAAGGTGGAAGAAAATTACCTGGCTAAGTAGGACCAGAAATGGGAACATGTATCTCCCGAGTGCTGTTCAAAGATATCCATCCATTGTAAAACTATGATACTCCATATTATATCAAACCTAACTGAAGTGAAAGCATCCTGAGGTTACGGCTAATAGAATGACTGATAACGTGGTTTCAGTAGTGTGGACTTAACATCACTCCCTACCCCCAGCTGTAATAGCTTAATTTGTCACCCTGACACACATACAAACACACACATGTGTGCGCACACACACACTCGGCTCAAACACCTCATTAATGCCCAGCAGCCCATTATCTGAGGAGGAGGGGATGAACGCTTAAATTCAGTGCAGACAATTTGAATATGTAATGGGCTAAAGATGTAATCACAAAATCTAATTTGACAATTAGAACTGATTCCAGTTTTACACACTTGACACAACTACGCTACTCCAATTTTAAAAGGGAAAGAAACTTCATTAGATCAGATATTGCTTGACTACATGTGATAGTATTTTGCATATTATAATTGTGGAATTTGTGGGGGTCGAACAATGCTTTAGGAGACACGGCGACCATGGTTATCCCCCTCCGTGTCGCAGGTCTTTCATGTCTGCACTGAGACAACAGGCATAAAGACACAAGAGGCTCCCTCGGGTTTACCAACACCCCCACCTCTTCCCAGAGCTCTTGACAAAGCCTTTCCAGTCACCAGTCTGACCCAGTAACCTGGCGAGCAGCTCTGGGGTGTTGAGTAGCCTCTCCCGGGTTTCTGAACCGCAGGCACAGTCCGTTGTTTGTGTGCGGAGCGAGCACCTTTCCTGTCCCACTTCTGGATCAGATGGGTATGTTTTAGACTGGGCTGACTGTGGCATACAGGCGCTGATGGGGAGGTGTGCTACGGCTGAATGTGCTAATCCGGTTAGACACACAGGCATCTTTCGTTACAGCCGTTTCACTGGAATGCACCCTCTACCAAAAATCCACCCAGGTCGTACAGTGTGACCGCACGCCACTGCCAATTTTACTAGCTATAAATAACAATACTCTCATATAAACCAAACCGCTGGCCCGCAAATGTTACGAAACCCAGGAACTGCATCCAAGCGATGACACTTTCTTAATTTACGGTTCATAATTGTGCTGATGAACATGCGTGCTTCTATAATTATATAAATGTTTCCAATCTGGTCGAGCAGGCCCTAAGGGTGGTGTCACTGCAAGTTACAGGTCCTTCTCCATTTCAGGTGATGGTTTAGGAGCTCATGAAATATTGAGAGAGTATGCAGGTGGCTGAGGGGTGCCGTGAGTTTTTTTTGATGCATGACTCAACAATCAGGTCTAATTAATGCATTGCAACTTTTAGGCGTCAGGAGGGGTGAGGAAAAACACATTCATCTTACCCCCTGGTTCCCCTTGAAGCAAATTGCCGGCGGATTTGGTAAAGACCCCTGGGGACAGAAGAAAAAAGGTAGAAGAGGTTGGTTAGCATTTACTATTATTATATAAAGGATTATAAAGCAAAGATGAAATCTTGGAAATTAATTATCTCCGACTCCAGCTGAATTTCTAGGCTGGAACCCTCATAATGCATTTAGGTCCGTTATGACCCGAAAGAGATACATCATTTTTAAACTGTTTTTAGTACAAGAACCAAACTTGCAAAATGCACAATGACTATCAATTCATATAAGATGTGACATTTCCAAAATATTTCTCTATTTTTTTTAATTAATAAAAAGGTGGTAATGCAATAATAACATGGTAATCAATAATTTTACATATCTGAGCATTCACTGATTAATGGGAAGTTACTAATCATATACAATATGGTTTTAGTTGAAAAATATTAAGTCCACCAAGTTCATGCAAATGCAAGACGTGCAGATTTTGAATGCATTATGAGAGTTAAAGGGGTCATATGATGTTGCTAAAAATAACATTATTTTGTGTATTTGGTGTAATGAAATGTGTTTATGCGGTTTAAGGTTAAAAAACACATTATTTTCCACTTACTGTACATTATTGTTTCTCCTCTATGCCCCACCTTTCTGAAACGCGTCGATTTTTACAAAGCTCATCGTTCTGAAAAGTGAGGTGTGCTCTGATTGGCCAGCAATCCACTGCGTTGTGATTGGCCGAATACCTCAAGCGTGTGTAAATGTTACGCCCCTTACCATATTGTGATGCCGTGTCCCGGCCGCAGCGAAGAACTTTACAGATCTTCTTTATGCATCAAGAGCTTGTAACACTCCAAAGAGAAAAGAAAAATTGAAATCGCATCATATGACCCCTTTATCAAAAACAATGCAAATGTTTTGTACCAGCCTTACACTGAAGTAAAGCAAAACTGAAAATTTAGTCATCATTTACTCTCCTTGTCATTCAAAAACCTGTGTGACTTTTTCAATGAAACACAAAATTACACATTTTGAACAAGTGTTTTTGCCCATACTAGGGATGGGCATGATTAATCGACGATCGATAATTGATCGTTAAGAATTTCGTCGATCACGTTAATTTGTTATCGATTAATCTAATGCAATTTTTTTTATCTAATTCAGGTTGCCTGAGTCTTGAAGCAATTAAATGAATTTCACTGTGTGGCAGCAATTAAACATTTTACCACCAGGGTGCAATATTTGACACCATACTCGGTTATCTGTGATCTTCCGTTTTGATTTCAAAAGAATAATCATGAAGAGGTCACGGCGAAGTGTGGCGTGGGACCATTTTGATTTAAAAAGCGAAATAGTTCACTGCAAACATTGCGATGCCGTGTATAAGTACAACACGGCCACGTTTAGATTTAAGCAATAAGCCCCGCGAAGAATAAAACTGTTACTCTTACTCCATAAAAATATTAATTTTAATATTAATTTTATTCATAAAATAAACAACAAAAAAATACAACGTTTTCTGATTATTGATTCCCCATCATATATTTATACAGATTGAGTCTGGTGAGTTTGTGTCATTCGCCCCCATGATCTCATCAATGCTGGACCCTCGTCACAAACACCTGGGCTTTCTTACACCAACACAGAGACTGGCTGCTAATGTGAAACTGGTTGAACTGGGAGAGGCGGTGGGGACCGATAGGGCGGCTATCCAACAGGCTGGGGGAGTCGAGGCTGCGTTGTCTGACACGGACGAGGGGAGCGCAAACACTGAAGTCGCGACCTCCCAGTCATCTGCTATGGCACAACTCCTTGGGGATCACTATACCACTCAATGCGAGGCTGGCATCGAAGCAGAACTTCAGAACTTTCTGAGGGAGACTCCCCCACCCCTGAATTGCACACCTACAGACTGGTGGAAAGTGAACGGAATAAGGTTCCCCGGGCTGGCCAAGTTAGCGCGGAGGTACCTGTGCATCCCGGCAACGTCAGTCCCCTCAGAGCGGGTGTTTTCGGCGGCTGGACTGACGGTCACCAGGTTGCGGTCGCGTCTGACCCCAGATCATGTCAACATGCTTATATTTCTCAACAAAAATCAGTAGACTGGTGCAGAAGTTGTATGCGAGTTACTAAAGTTAGTTATTTTTCACGAGGCTTTAAGTAGCCTAATTTGTTAAGTTAGCCTAATTGTTAGGAAGGCTAATATCTGGCCCTTTCTTCTGGCTTGGATAGTTTTGAGTTACATTTTGACAAAACCTGTCAGATCTAAGTATTATTATGTTTTTTGTTTAAGTTATTGTTTAACATGATTCTTTTTTATTATTATTATTTTGGAACAAATGAGGTCTCTGTTTAAGAACGCCGGCTCGCAGCTGCAGGTTCCGCTGCTTTAGAGCACCGCATATGCACGCGCATATATGTTCGGTTTGCCTAACTGAACGTAGTTTAACTGTCTGCCACAAGTTGATCTTGTAATAAAGGTCTCATCGAGGAAAAACTCGCTGTATTTTTGTATTCATTGCATTTTTGAATTATAAAAGTTAAATAATTAATTTTATTATAAAAATATTAATGATTAATCGATAGTCGATCGTTAATTCTCCCGACGATCGACTAAGAAAATTTAATCGAATGCCCATCCCTAGCCCATACAAGTAAAAAAGTCAATGGGGCCCAAATTAACACAATTTGACTCAATTAACTTTCATTGTATGGCTAAAAAAAAACATTTTTGCTCCACAAAACAAAGCAAGTCATACAGGTTTGGAACAACATGAGGGTTTTCATTTTCTTAATTGTTTACCCACAATGCCAGCATTTCCACGAGCTGTGTTTAGGTACCAACTTCAGTAAAATATCATGCCTACCCATTAGCCTCCCTTCACAGTAATTACAGTCTCCTCTTACTTGCTTGCCCCCATTGACAGAGGCACAGTTCTCTCCTGTATTAATTCATGCTGCGAGTGAGGGGGTTGTTTCTGAGAGAATGAAAGGCTGGCTGTCACTGGCCTCTCGGCAGTGTCATGGTTCTGCTTGTGCGAGCCTAAAGATCAAGGCCGGGCTTTGCTAATCTGCACTGGAATGCATCCGATTAATAAATCTCGACTTGAAAGACCTTACATGAGTCAATCAAATGTTATTGTGTGAGGCGTGGATGAGTGTGAGGATGTTAAATGTTTGAGGACTTGTAGAAGATGTGGGGGTGGGACAGGGACAGAGAAAACATCATGCGAAAAGCTTTTAGCTACCAAATGCTGAATTGAGTTCTTAGCACTAATTAAGTCTAAAGGCAAGTTGCAAAAAGCATTTCAACTTTTTTCTAAAGGTGCATCAGTTAAAATCAAGCAGGCCTGGACATTATCTATCTATCCTGTGGTGATTGTCCACTACATAAAGTTTGTACAAATAGGCCTTTTATATAACCACTTTTTGCTAGCTGTGTGCTCAGCTTTTAACACTCAGCTTGGACCAACATCCATGAGCATTAACAACATACATACGAAACAGACTCATTCACATCACTAATGTAAATTGCTGAGACACAAGGGAGAAAAATCGGAGGTTTCCCCCAGCATAGCTCGAAACCATTAAGCAAGGTCAAAAGATAGCACTTATTATCTTCAAGGTACAGCTGGAGCTTTAGTCCACAAGCATGTTTATCTATTATGGATGTTACAGGGAGAGGCCGACATGTCACTCTACACATACAGTGCAGCTCAAGTTGCTTATTAAAAAATATGGGCATATTGGTTCTGCGTTTGCTGTCATGTGGTTGGATTACTGGCTAAACATTACTGAAGGGGGTGCTGCTGTAGCTAACTTGAACTTTGTTTTTGTTTTTTATTCTGGTTTAGTGAAAGCTTATGAGAACATAATGAGAACAGTTCAGAGGAGGACACTGAGGTATCTAATGACCTGACTTGACCATGTTTTTCTTTCTTCTGACCTCATTTGTAATTGATAAACATACTAATACAAAAACCAAAACCCAGGTCATCATATGTCATAACTGATTACCTCTTACCTATAACATTAAATTAACATCAATTTATATTTAATGCAATATATATATATATATATATATATATATATATATATATAGATATATATATATATATATATATATATAACTATGCTTGGAACTGAATATTACAAAGTATAACGCAAATGAAAATCAAGGAATTCATTACAGAGGTTCATTTTATTTCACTGCATTTTGAATTTTAAGGCATTTTTACCCCAAGTGCACCAAATTTCTGACACTGACAGATTGTAAGCTGCATTATTGTGACTTAAAGTTATTAAAAACGTTCTGGCTTGTACATTTTAACAAAAAAAACAAAAGACACATAATAAAAATCCCCCAAAACCCAAAAGATTACTTTGACCAATGTATTTATTTCTACTTTTCTCTCTCTTTACGAGGTCACATATGATTGACAATATAACATTCATTATCGAGCTCCTGTTGCAAGAGCGAGGAAGTCTTCTCGTGTTCTGATTGGGTCAAACGACATTCTACGCCGCCTGCCTGACCAATGACATCGGGACGTTCGTCCAAACATTTAAAGGACTCACAACAATACGACAGAGCACGCCAACAAAAATACACCTTTATCGTCCAATCATCGACAAGAAGCGCTTGGGTTGAGAAGAAGCTAACAAAGTGCGCCGTCCAGCTGGAGTACACGTTTTGCCACTGAGGTATTGATATTACTGGAATCTGTACTGTCGAGCCGACGGCGACAATGAGTATTGGTTACTCAACTGCGGTTAACTGGCAAAAAACAACAACAACAACAAAAAAACCTGCTTACAAGGAATTACCTTTACGTGAGGCAAACATGACATTTAAATGGATAGTTCACCCAAAATAAATTCTGTTATCATTTAGTCACCCGCATGCTTTTTTAAAAACACTCCTGTCTTTCTTTCTTCCGCAGAACACAAAAGGAGATGTTAGTGACTGACAGTCAAGTCCCCCCATTCACTTACATTGCATGTTTTTTTTTCATACAATGAAAGTGAATGGGGACTGAGGCTGTCATTCTATAGAACATCGTTCTTTTGTGTTCTGCGGAAGAAACAAAGTCACAGAGGTTTGTAACAACAATGATTTTTGATTTAATTGACTATGCCAAGCAATTACCATATGCCTATTTAAGTTAATCAGTTCAAGAACCAATTATAAACTTAACCTTAAACTGTACCTAAAGAGACAATACGAGGTTACATGCGCTTTTAGTCTGTGGATAGTTCACTAAACCTTTAGAGCAAACTGAAATGTTACTCCCGAATTTGAGTCAATTAAATATTTGACAGGGAAATTAAAAAAGGCATCGATCTCAATGACTATTTAAAATGCTAAATGCTACTCAACGTTTATAGGTCATAAGATCGAGCTTGAGCCCCTCTCAGACCGTAAGATCCCCGTGAATATGAGTAAAAGAAACAATTCCCATCGTCGCTTTAAAATGATCATAATTATTAGTAATGCAATGTTTAGCATTAAGACAGTGTCATGTTGCATTTCGTATCATTTGTCAGAAATAATAAAGCGGCGACTTCAAATCTAAACTCAAAGACAAGAGATTTCGTAAAACCAATTCCAACTGGCTTCACGAAAAAAATGGCACGATTGGCATTATCTTTAGTTTTGTAACAGCTTAAACAATAAATAAGAAATTGTGCATTTCACCAAAAAAAAAAAAAAAGTAAAATTGTTTAAAATATTGAATAAGATATATCCTGTGAGCTGTCAGGTCTCCAAATATACGGCTGTTCATTGCACCTGGTCAGTATGTGGAAGTAAAGAAAGTAAAGATATGACAAAAAAAATTATTGACATGATATTGACAAAAAAGCAAACTACAGCGTATCATGGGATATGGGTTTGATTTTACTATGCAAAAAAATGTATAGAAAAACAAAAAGCTGGCGGGGAGGGGGAGCATAAATTGAATACAATGTAATCAGTTATTAATATTATAAAAAATCTGAATATAACCAGTTATTAATATTTTTTTGTTCTGCCTTGTTTCTGTCAAGTCATTCTCCAGGGCAGTACTCAATAAGTTCTGTGCATGTGTCATTTCTATGACACAATTTGTCATGTTTCATTGCATTATTACAAATAAAACAATAAAGCATGTACATTAGTTTTACACTCCAAGCACAAATGCACAAAATGCTTACAAGAGTCTTAATAATAAAATGTTTGAATAGAGGTTGAAGACAGAGGTTTTCTAGGCCGGACATCCCATTTAGCCACTACAGTACATAGAGAAGTTCTTAAATTCCTGGCCAACTCAACCCCACTTATTATTTGAAACAGACTAACTTCCTAAACACCTGTGAAGGTGCATAGTCTGCTTATATACAAATACATTTAAATTGTAAATTATACTATATATATATAAATAAATATTACAGAATTAAATTACACCTGGGCATTGAAGTCATCCAAAAAAATCTCAATTCCATGTATGAACAAAACTGCATGTTAAATCAGCTTTTCCGTCTGCAAATCTAATAAAATATTCTCTTGAAACCAGTCAGTTGAAAAACAACAGTTATCAGTCAAAGATAAAACAAACAAATATGGGTATGTCTGAGAGAAATTCATTGTAGCGGCAACTTCAAGTCTTGGAGATTACATGGTATTAAAGAAGTGTTCTGTGAACAAAATGATGAGAAAAAGCTCAGACTGTCATTTTAAACTAGATTAAAATGTGCATACAGAAAAATGATTCACTTAATCTAGCCAGGCAATCATCTGCACCTTTTAAGCTTACAAACAGATGAAGTGAAATGGACAGTGAGGGGAAAAATAGAGAATTTAGGTTAATTGGAAAGACATAATCCCCAACAGACAAGGTGCTTGGGCCTCTGGATTAAGGAGCTCTCTCATAGTCTCTAATGGAAACTCTACTTGCCATATGGCTGTCTGAGATACAGGGACATCTGAAGCCGGCTGGACAAACAATATATGTTCCCTCAGATTGTGGTTTAAAAAAAATGCTGCTGACTCTCCAAAAGCTTCCATGTTATGTGTAAATTTACATTAAATATACAGATGTGCACAAGCACTTGGTAAACAGATGCATATCTTAAGTGTCAGATTCTTAGGAATGGATCTAAGTAGAGATTAAAGTACATGAGATTCACTGGTGTCAGGTTACACTTCAAATAAGACAAGCAACTTACAGGAAAAAAAAGGTCAACACATTGTAAATCCAAGATAATTAATAAAATATTATAACTTACAATATACATCAGATTTTATTCATCAGGACTTTATTTGTAATGAGTTTGTTCTCTGAAACTCCCTTCATTTCCACCTATTTCAATCATTGCTTGGGGATTTTACATTTGGCATTTGCAGAGAATCTAGATGCCAAGATTTCCACAATATGTGAGCTTGCCAAGCTAAGTTCTGTGCATGTGTCATTTCTATGACACAATTTGTCATGTTTCATTGCATTATTACAAATAA